ATACACGAAACTTATGGCCAAAGATACTCTGGTGAATCAGGCACTTTCGAAAGCTTGCAGGCCGGTCATCGCCACTTACTGCCAGGTTCCGAATGTGTTTCTTCTTGAACTGCACTAATTGTTCTTGTATGCATTTCCGAAAAATTACATTTTAATTAGGATTGCTATTTTATTTTTATACATCAGCAAATAGCGTTGTCCTCCCGGTAACGATTGATGATCCTTCCAATTTCGTTACTAAGTTTGTTCTATACGACTCCTTGAATTATTTCGATAGTACTTCTGTATGCACAGAGAAACTCGTGCTTCTAAGCAACTCTCGAAAGATAAAATCATTGACAGCCTCGGCAGCTAGTGATTGCTTTAAGCAATGCATTAAATCTTGGGCCTATTCCAGTCACCTCTGTTTCTCGTAGGGAGTGGAATTTGCAGTGTGAGGCTGATATTTGACTTGCACTTTTTTTTTTCATCGGTTTTACTAACAGTACGGTATCAAGCAGTTCAAAGTATTTCTTACTCTCAGCAACTGAGCCGATCAAATCGATTTGATTGCGTAGTTCACTGCGAACCTTCACACCCAGTTCCGTCTAACACTACTTCCTTCTTGTCATTTTAAGTTGTTGTAAATATGTTAATCGATGCGCGATACATTAAGTTGACCACGGCTGGACTCAGTACAGGGACCTTTGTGTCGGCAATTCCGGAAAGCAACTACTAGTCACGCCACCGTTCAGCTGTTGCTCGAACTTCAGTAATTCATGTTTCTGATGACAGTTTACTACTGCTATAGCGTTATGTGAGTCGACGATCCACCGCATCAGCAGTCGCGCAGGCATTGCTTCGTTTAAGTCGCTTCGAGATCTGTAATGAACTTCACTCATTTGACCATACCATCATTCAGCTTCTCTGTAATCTCGATTCATCTCGCTGTAGCATAACACTTTCGGTTTTCTCAATCCCCTAGTTTCCTTACATATTTTGTCAAGAAAATGCACACTCCTCGTTCGTTCTCTCTTGCCCCTCTGCTCTCCGCACTTTTTTATATTACTCTGTATTATTAGGCGAACGCACTTTCGGTTGGTTTGATAGCACTTTGCAAGAGCGTCTTCCAGTAGCAGATCATCCACGATTTTCTATTTGAGTGCTAATTCTTGGCTTTTTTTTTTAGTTGTCATCTAAAAAATTGGTAGTTTGATGCAGTGTGGGATTTCAGGAATACTTAAACGAAGAAATTGATCATGGCGATGTGCTGGAATGTTTGCTGGACCATAAGGATCGGCCGGAAATGACGCCGAAATGCCGCTCATACGTTAATCACTTCGAGCTGATTACGCTTCGTGATTTCCAGTTCGATGAACGATTTGCACAGTTCTGTTCTCGTGACATCAAAAAATACTGCATGGAAGTCAGCACTGACAAGTAATCCTTTTTTTGCTTTCAGTTTCGCCAAACTGATGTATCATCGTTATGTCAAATTCTCTACACCGATTGTCTGGGTAACTTTGGCGCTATTGGCACTGCTTTATACTGAAAATAAGTCAAAACTGATGTATTTTTCTGTTTGCAGGGCGGAAATAATTCGCTGTTTGTCGACAGTGATGTTTGAGCACAAAGTGTTGGGAACGCCAGATGATCTCGAAAAAGACTGTAAGAAACATTTGAAAACAGCTTATCTCCATCAAGAACAGGTGAATGTGAGTATTTTTGCGAATTCTGTAATTTTCAGAGTCTTCAGAATTTTAATTTAATAATCCCTAGAATTGATTTAGTCCTGTAGTTGAAATTTTCTTCCGGATAAGTCACTTTATTGGGAAGGTGAGGAAATGGGAGCGAAATGGTATTTCTGGGAAATGATTTTTATTCTCCAATCAGTACCTCGTAAAAAATTTTTATTTTGATGAAATTTATTGTTAGGCATTGGCCGTGGGGTTTGAATTTTCGGATGAAAAATAAAGGTCCCTATCCTTCTGTGCTTTCATAACTCAGTATCCTCTGGCCTGCCCGATCGTATAACAGCATTCAGAATGATTTCTGTAGTTGGTGAATGTCGCTTCTTCCTCGTAAGTCAGGTTGATGTAAGCACTTAGACAGTGCTATAATTATTTAGGAATTACTGCGAAGTATTAATAGAACTTGTTGTTTCAACTATTTCAGAGCCTTTGAAAGCAAAGAAAATTAGTCTAAATATCTAACTCAAAATTTTGAATTTCCTAATTGTTAGGGCAATGCAGTAGCTTCGTTTGAGAGATGCAGAGTACTTTTCACCTTTGCTGGTCCAGTTAAACACGTCAAGTTTTTGAGCTAATGCGAAACTTCTTGAAAGGAATAAGCTCAACTGAGTTGCATGTGGGAGTCAGACGAGGAGGAGGGGGAGGGAGGATGAGAGGGGAAGGGAAGAGAGGGAGAGAAATGGCTATGAAATAAATGTATGACTGGGCGATTCCTAGTTTCACTGTAAAGCTGAAAGTGAGATGTTGATTATTAGCGTTGCCTGAAAGAATGCACCGTTCACTGCTTTCAGGACTACACATTTCTGTGTTAATTTTTACAATTCTAGAACATTGAATTTCGTGTGAGATTTGTGGGCACTCTATATGCCGCTTGTAGCATCACTAGAGTGGGATTTCCAGCCCGTTGTTTTATTCCTGCCATTTGGACGTACTGCTGCATGAATCCTTGCTAATTAATTAATTAATTGATTGATTGATAAGTGACAAAGTGAAAAGCTTCTTTTTCAGAGTATTGTTATTTTTAAATGATGCGCCCGTCGGTTAGTGTAAGTCCACGATGATCAGTTTTGGTGCACCGGCATTTTTACTAAACACGGGCTTGGTGCTGGTAATTTTGAAGGGTG